AATGTCTTAAACCTTCAAGAACCTACGAATTCGAGAGGATACCGCGAAATATCTTCTCAATCTTGATGTAACTTCAGCCCATTATGACCCCAAGACCAGGTTCATGCGTGACGATCCTCTTCCTGAGGCAGATCCAAATGAAAAGTTTTACTTGGTAATTTGTCTCTAAGATTAGTTTGTCAGGAAACTTGGTGTTTTGATTTCTTTTTTATTGCGTTTTGCATGTTAATCTTGTATCTAGGGAGATAACCAATATAGAAATAGTGGTCAGGCTTTGGAATTCAAAGTCTCAAACATCCATGCTTGGGAAGCATTTGACAAGGGACAAGATGTTCACATGCAAGCAGCTCCTACCCAAGTTGAATTGCTCTACAAGAATTTCATGGTCGTGAAGGACAAATAGAAATCTCAAACAAAGGAAACTATTATTGAGAAGTATGGAAATGCAGCTGACAATAACAAGCTTACAAGATAACTTCTGCTGGGTCAGAGTGAGAAGCAAGTTGAGTATGACCGTGCTGGTAGAATTATTAAGGGACAGGTATGACATACGTTCTATATAGCCAATGCAGTGCTCGACGATTAACAATTACTGTGATAAAATTATGCTCAAGCTAATGATTCTTAAAATCTGTTCTGTTATGTGATGGCCTTGTGGGGTTGTCTCTTTCTTATGCTTTTACCTTGACAATAGCCCAAATATTTTGGAGTAGATGGTTTTCCAACTTATCTTATGCTTTTACCTTGACAATAGCCCAAATCTTGTAACTATACCTATGGTTATAAGATGCAACAGCTGTGTCAACTACAGACAAGTTTAAAATACTGTTATTATGAAACCATTAGATAAAGCATAACCTATGGTTATAAGATGTCTACTGCTCCGGTGTTGTTATCTTCTGCTGCCACACCTATTTGAGACTTTTCTGGTATGTTGAAAAAGTGAAATGCCAACCCAGAAGATAAGATCTTCAATGTTGGATTGCTAAGGCTAATGCCATTAATTCCTTTTCCTAAGATGATTTGGCCAAGTTCTTAACTCGATTTTCCTAAGATGATTTGGCCAAGTTCTTAACTCGATTTTCCTAAGATGATTTGGCCAAGTTCTTTTCCAGTGTTGGATTGGGTAAGGCTAATACCAGAGCTTCTGTGAGCCTTTTCCTAAGTGTTTCAAAAGTTGTTTGTGCATGAAATCCCCATTTAATGGCCTCGGAAATTTTCCATAGTCTGATATAAACATACTGTAATATTTGGTAAGTCCTAATTTACCCTTTGTAATATAATTAGTTTACACTATAAATTTGTATTTGTTTGGATGGTTGGTTTCCTTAGATTTTTCATTTGTTACCTTGATGTTATTTTTTGTCTAAAATTCTATTCTATAATTGAATTTCATTTTAAGAAGTTCTGAAAAGACTAACAAAATACTGTTGGTCAGTGGGTTGAAACTCCATGAATTAGTGTGGTGTTTTGTTTTTACTAATTTGATTATCGCTGCAGGCAAGAATTTTAGGTCTGAATGCTTCATACTATCTTAAAGCTGGAGGTAATTTTGTTACATCCATCAAGTTTTGTTCAGAAAACAAATTTAATTTGTTATGACTTTTATGGTTGTATTGCAGGCCAATTACGTTGATTCTACAGTTCCTGCAGAGGCAGTGTTCAGCAGTGAAGTGAACAAGTTGAAGGCAGGTCAATTTAAGCCAACTGAGCAAGTGACTCTTGAACCATTTGAGAGGACCATGCATGTGTTGTTGGTGGATACAAAATACCCTTACGTGTATTTGTTTGATGGATTAAATTTACATCCTGGGAATGTTATTCCTAGAAATATCATTTTTTGAAATATAATTCTCATATTTGATTGGCAAATTATTTAGATTCCTTGGAATATTTTAAAGTTTTATTTTATTTATAAATTAAAAAAAAAAGATATGTTAAAATAGTATATAAATAAGTAGGTATAATTTGTTATTTATTATTTTCATGGGAATATAAGATTCTCACCTTTTAACACGGGAATAAACTTTTAAGATTTCACGAGTAAATCAAATTCCAAGAAATAAAAGATACTAAGAAATAATACTAAGAAATAATTAGTTAAAACTTCAAACAAACATGAAAATATGAGATTTTCAACCTCACATTCCCATGAATCCAAATTCTATCCATGAAACAAGTACACCCTAAAAAGAAATATGTTGAATGTTTCTAATGTTAACTGTCGAATTATTTAGGCGACTTGGTTGGACCTGGACTTTGTATATCTCAGATACGTCTTGATGTGCCAGATCTGTCATGCGACATTGCAGTTCAACAGGTGTCATAGTGAGCAATCTGAAATTTATATCCCAGAATATACATAAATGAAAGGAGAACAAGATAGGAAAATAGACATCTTCTTTAGAATGAACATGAGATTTATGAGTGTCATTAAATAGCTTGGCATAACGGTCATATCAATTGGCAAGTGTCGATACCAATCGGCATAACAAGTTTATGTGGGAAAAAATGACATAAACCCATTTATTTGGAGTAATTTACTATTTCTTAGGGTGCTCCAATAATCCTTGCATAAAACTAGAAATGAAGTCTTAATTCTTTTATTTTTTGTCAATACATATATACCGATGAGTGCTAAATTGTTGTGAATTTGAGTGTGAAAAATTATCACTTATCGATTTAATTCGTTTTCTTTTTGTCAATAAACCTCAACTTTAGTGTATATTCGGTATAGTTTACGTTATAGTGTATTTATTGCGTTATTGTGTAAATATCAGAGTTTAATCGATTTTATCTCATTTTTGTAGGTATTCAAGCATTGATATTTAGGCATTGTTAGATAGAATATTGAATAATTTTCCAACGCTTCCGACTGTGCGCGAATCAGAGTTACGGTTCTCAAGTTATGGCTGAAACTGTGCTGGTTTTCAAGTTTCTGTCATCCGTTGCCGGGCGACGCTTTTTAATCGCCGGGCTACGCTGAGGCGTTCTGTAGCGTGGGAAAAATGTTGTTTTGGTCGCCGGGCGATGCTGAACAGTCAGAAATGTGTATTTAGGGGTAAAAACACATTTTTTGTGTATGATTTTAGGTATTTTTGATCCCAACTCACCACCCTTCATTTTTTGATAGGATTAGCTTAGAAAACAACATTGAAGCTTGCATACGGATGATCCGAGGTGGATTGCTCATCAATCAGCGTTGACAAACCGATAGATTTGTGGTTCATTTCTCTTCCTCTTTGTGTATTCTTTATGTGTTGAGTTTGTACATGTATTTACTCTAAACTTATGTATATTTATCGCCCATGACGTCATATTAAACTTGCTTTACAAATCTTTGTGGATTGTTATCTTAGATTTTTGCTCTTTGCTATGGATTTGATTTGTTATAGACACATACTGCTTAGGTTCTTATCTAGGATGATTATCTGTTAGTTTCTGAACTCTAGAGATACATTTAGAGATAACATCTACTTGGGTATCAAAGCTTAATGCTTCAGCGTGATTGTGCTGTGCTGAGAGATCGTCAGTGCAATTACATAGTTGTCTTCAGTTTTGTTGAGGAGGTAGAGAGATTATTTCCTTGATGATACAGTCGGTCTCTCAATTTGGGTTAGAAATGACTTAGGTTGTGAGTGATACGTAGTGACATTGATGAGTATTGTTAGATTGAAAGTAACTGGTCGATAGATTTAAGCCTGTGATGCGTAGATTATATGCAGGCTTGATAAGTTCTTGCTTAGTTTTTACTTTTGTTTACATTTATTTTATGTTGATAACATTTTCTTTACAAACCAATTTATCCTCAAACTCATTAACGAGAGATTTGTCGAACGATAATTCAATAACCAATCTCGGTGGACATGATAAATTCCTGGATAAATATTTCCAAAACTTTTGTTGTTTGCCACTACACCGTTTCCAACAAAATGCGCCGTTGTCGGGGATTGATTCTATTGTTTTCGCATTGCGATAATTCTTTTGTTTTTGAGTTTTGCAATTAATGTATATGTTGTATAGAAATTGTATATTAACTTGTATATGATATTTGTGCATATATATTTTTTCACGTATTGTTATGAATTGTCTCGTTTTCGTAACGTTTGTTGTGTGATTGTTAGAATACTTTCTTTAGGTTTGCGCGGTGTGACAATATCATGGCATGACAAGAGGAGGTTACTAGCTCGCACAATAAAGGCGTTGAACTTACGACGTAAAACAAGCATGTTTGTTTGTATTTGTTTATGTGTGTGATAATTTGTGCTTTAACAAGTTGAAACAAGGAAATGTTCTAAATTTCAAATCTTCACTTTTCAACTTGTTAATTCATTTTCACTCGGTTTTCATATCGTTATTTGTATTTGTTTTGTTATGTCAATTTGTGTTTTCCGAAAGCTTGTCGTGTTTAACTTGAGGAGTTTTGTTCGTTGTATATATTGTAAATTTTGTACATTGAAATTTTGTAGGAGTATCATTTTTCTAATTCTTTTGTTGTTGTTTGCACTCAAGTTTTAGTCCAGTAACTTGTAGAATATTGAGGTGATTTGTCAAGTTTGATCGTTTCAACTTGCGAATGCGTGGTAATGATTTTGTTAAAGTTTTGTGCACGTTCGAGGTAGGTGTTTATCGCTTTCTGTACTTTAGCATATTCATGATACTTAGACTTTTTACAATTTTCATGTCATTCATTCTTTTGTATACTTGTTCATTTGTGAATCACTTTAGTTCCTACCCTTTTTGTGAGGTAGCTTTCCATTATTCACATATGCTAGAGACCACAATTCTTATTTTAAATGAATTTTATTATGCTTAATCTTTTGTTGTGTTGATTGTATGAAAGCTTGAACATGATCAAGGCATTTTTTTGTTTGTTTCATTTTGAGTACAACTATCTTGGCCAAATAAGTTAATTCACCTTGTGAGTGTGTGATCATTAGTAACCCATTTGAGATTTTTGTCGATATCCACGTTGTATTTGCTAAATGCTTGTCTATGAGTGTTTAGTTTCCCTTTTTGCATGGATTTTGATTCGTTGTTTTCTTGAACCCTCAACCATTGTTTTTGTTTGAATTTTTACCTTGCCTTAGAAAGTAGGGAATATTCACTTTAATGTATGGTTGAATTCAAGTTGGGGAGAAAAATGATTGTGTATTTATTGGTTGATTGTTATGAGGTTATGAAAGAAAAAGAAAAAGAAAGAAAAATATGGAAAAAAATAGAAAAGTTTTGAAAAAGAAAAACAAAAAGAGTATGGAATAATATTGTGTTGAGTAAGTGATGTGTGTTGGTTTGAAATTTGGGATGAAGAAGAAGTTTGATTGAAATTCTATTGTTTGAAACTTTGTGGAAGTAATTACTCCCTTAGGTTTAGACAAGTTTTTGTTTCGATTATCTTTAAGACTTATCATTTGTTTGTTAACCAAGTCACATTACAACCTTGAAAAGCCCTTGAGATTCTTGCTTTTATATTTTCAATGTAAATTTTTGGATGAATGCATAATTTAGTCTATTGTTTACAAGATTGTTGGATGGGTGAAATTACCCCATTTTTGTGTGTTTTTTCATCTAACGATGATTGTGTTTGTTAGGTGTGATTCATTTGTGAACTAATATTTTTTTTAGAATGTTTGACATAATTTTTGTATTTACATTTGTTTCATGTTTATATTATAGTTGTAGTTTAGTGGTAAGTGTTTAGTTTGTGTGTATTGTTTTTCATTTGAACCATTGCATTTTTTTAATGTTTTCAAAACCTGTTGACTCGTGATTCTTTGATTATCGTCTTTTACTTCTTTAAGTTTATTTGACTTTGTTTGATGACAAACAATCTTTTAAGTTGAGGAGAGTTTGATGAGTGCTAAATTGTTATGAATTTGAGTGCGAATAATTAGCATTCATCGGCTTAATTCATTTTCTTTGTCAATAAACCTCAATTTTAGTGTATATTCGGTATAATTTACGTTATAGTGTATTTATTGCGTTATTGTGTAAATATCATTGAGTTTAATTTATTTTATCTCATTTTTGTAGGTATTCAAGCATTGATATTTAGGCATTGTTAGATATAGCATTGGATAAGCTTTCAAACGCTTTCGACCGTGCGCGAATCGAAGTTACGGTTCTCAAGTTATGGCTGAAACTGTGCTGGTTTCTCAACTTTCTGTCATCCGTCACCGGGCGACGCTTTTTGGTTGCTGGGCGACGCTGAGGCGTCATGTAGCATGGGAAAAATACTGTTTTGGTCGTCGGGCGACGCTTTTTGATCGTCGGGTGATGCTGGACAGTCAGAAATACGTATTTAGGGGGTAAAAACACATTTTTTTGTGTATGGTTTTGGGTATTTTTGACCCCAACTCCATGACCCTTCATTTTTTTGATAAGATTAGTTTAGAAAACAAAATTGATGCTTGCATAAGGATGGTCCGGGGTGGATTGCTCATCAATCGGCGTTGACAAACCGGTAAATTTATGGTTCATTTCTCTTCCTCTTTGTGTATTATTTATGTGTTGAGTTTGTACATGTATTTACTCTGAACTTATCTATATTTGTCGCTTATGGCGTTATATTAAACTTACTTTACAAATCTTTGTGGATTGTTGTCTTAGATTTTTGCTTTTTTCTATGGATTTGAG